ATTATCTTCTCTCCCAGACTCCTACGATCACTTTCGTGACACCATTATCTATTCTCGGGACACTCTTGTCCTTGACGAGGTAATGACTGCTCTTGATTCAAAGGAAAAGATGAAGCAGATAGTTGGGAACAGTAGCAGCGATTCTAAAGCCGAAGGTCTCAACATCAGAGGGAGACCTAACGAGAGAGGTAGCTCTTCACAAAACCGATCTAGATCTAAGTCCAAAGCCAATCGCAAGTATTGCAATTATTGCCACAAGAAGGGACATCTGATCGATGAATGTTTCAAGTTAAAGAACAAGGAGAAAGCAAAGGCATCGCAAAGGGAAAAACAACCAATAACACCGTTGAAGCCGATGTTGCCGAAACTGGTTCCGATGGCGAGCTTCTATCCGTTTCAGACTACGGTTTAATGACCACGAGTGAGTGGGTACTTGATTCAGCGTGTACTTTTCATATGAGCTCCAACCGAAGCGTTTTTCATTCATATGAAAAGGTTAACGAAGGCCACGTTCTAATGGGTAACGACACTTCGTGTCGTATTATTGGACGGGGTACACTCAGGTTCCGCATGTTCGATGGCGTTGTTCGAACGATTCAAGATGTGAAGCACGTATCCGGTCTTAGGCGAAATTTACTAAGTCTCGGTACTTTCGAGAAGAAAGGTTACGAGTTTGTTGGCAAAGACGGGAAACTCCATATTTTCAAGGAAGGTTCTGTGGTCATCCGAGGAGTTAGAAAATCCGCAAACCTTTACATTATGGATGGGCAAGTTATCTCCGGCGAAGTCTCGGTATGTTCTAAATCCCTCTCCAACGCTGATCGCTCTCGTCTATGGCACCTCAGGCTCGCTCACATGTCATACCATGGTATGAATGAACTAAGTCGAAGGGGGTTGCTCGGGGAGCACAAATCAATCGAACTTAAATTCTGTGAAGATTGTGTATTTGGAAAGCAGAAGCGAGTGAGTTTTATCGGTGGCAAACATACGACGAAAGGGCCACTTGACTACATACACTCTGATTTATGGGGACCAGCGAAGGTTACATCGAAAGGTGGAGCCTCTTATATGCTCACGATCATTGACGATTTCTCAAGAAAGGTATGGTCGTTCTTCTTGAAGTCAAAGGGAGAAGTATTCCAAACTTCTAGAGATTGGAAAGTATTGGTTGAAAAGCAATCAGGTTTTGAAGTGAAATACCTTCGTACTGATAATGGACTGGAATTTTGTTCTGAAGAATTCAACTCCTATTGCCGTAGGGAAGGAATTACGAGGCATCGCACCGTAGTTCATACACCACAGCAGAACGGCGTAGCGGAACGTATGAACCGCACCATCATGGAGAAGGTCCGATGCATGCTATCTCATTCGAAGTTGCCGAAGTCTTTTTGGGCCGAGGCCGCTTCAACCGCATGCTACATTATCAATTGTTCCCCTTCTCGTGCTATTCAAAAGAAGACCCCATTTGAGCTTTGGTCCGGCCAACCTGCTGATTACACGAAATTGATTCCATTTGGATGTCCAGCATATGCCCGAGTTGATAACGGTAAATTGGAACCGAGGGCAATTAAATGCGTCTTTCTCGGATATCCGACAGGTGTTAAAGGGTTGAAATTATGGAGCCCGGAGGTAAGCAAGGTTTTGACATCTAAAGATGTGACCTTCGATGAAAAAGCCATGCTTCATCCTGTCTCCAACATTCAGACCAGAGAAAATGAAAATTCGGAAAAAGACAAAGTTCGAGTGGAGGTGGAGTTTCCTTTAAATTCATCTTTCGAGGACCAGTCTCATGAAGGTGTCGAGGTTTCTCAACCCTCGAATAATCAACATTCCTCTTCTCATGAGCCAGCCGAAGCTCCAAGCCAACCTCACAGTCCCTCCATTGCAAGAGATAGACCTCGCAGACAGATTGTACCTCCAAAGAGATATGTTCAAGCCAATTATGTCGCTTATGCACTTACAGTTGCCAATGAAGTTGAGTCTGTTCTGGAGCCCACAAGCTACAACGAGGCCATTCAATCCAAACATTCTAATAAGTGGATGGTTGCCATGCACGAGGAGATGGAATCTCTTCAGAAAAATGGCACATGGGATCTCGTTCCAGCTCCAAAGGGTAAGAAGACAGTTAAGTGCAAATGGGTCTACAAGTTGAAGGAGGCTATCCACCCTGGTGACAAACCAAGATATAAAGCTCGTTTGGTAGCCAAAGGCTACAATCAAATCCCAAGTATCGATTATACCGACATTTTCTCTCCGGTTGTGAAACACACGTCAATACGTGTCTTGTTGGGATTAGTTGCCTCTCATGATTATGAATTAGAGCAACTTGATGTTACTACATCATTCTTAAATGGTGTGCTTGAGGAAGAGATATATATGCAACAACCTGAAGGTTTTGTAGCTCCTGGCAAGGAAAGCTACGTGTGCAAATTGAAGAAGTCTCTTTATGGCCTCAAGCAATCTCCTCGACAATGGTATAAAAGGTTTGACTCATTTATGACCAGTCACAAGCTGAAAAGGTGCACCTACGACAGCTGCGTTTACTACAAAAAGTGTGACGATGGTTCAATGGTCTATCTACTTTTATACGTGGATGACATGTTAATTGCAGCGAAGAATATAAAGGAGATTCAAAAGATAAAAGACCAGTTAAATGATGAGTTCGATATGAAGGACTTGGGTGCTGCCAAGAAAATTCTAGGAATGGAAATAGTGCGAGACCGTAGTGCAAGAACTCTATACCTTTCTCAACAAAGCTACATTGAGAAGGTTCTGCACCGTTTCAATATGCATGACGCAAAAGAAGTCAGCACTCCTTTCGCAGCCCACTTCAAGCTATCATCCGCCTTAAGTCCTACTACCGAAGAAGATATAACATACATGGTAAAGGTACCATACTCCAGCGCTGTAGGATCTCTTATGTATGCTATGATTTGTACACGTCCAGATTTGTCATATGCGGTAAGCATGGTGAGCAGATACATGGCGAATCCAGGAAAGGAGCATTGGGTTGCTGTTAAATGGATTTTTCGCTACTTGCGAGGTACTTCCTCTTTATGTCTGCGGTTTGGAAAAACCGATAATGGAGTACTTGGTTATGTGGATTCCGATTATGCAAAGGACTTGGATAAAAGACGATCGATTACAGGGTACGTGTTTACTTTGGGTGATTGCGCAGTTAGCTGGAAAGCGCAGTTACAATCTACTGTAGCGTTATCCACCACTGAAGCCGAATACATGGCTGCTACGGAAGCAGTGAAGGAAGCCCTCTGGTTGAAACGGTTGATAGGTGAGCTTTCAAACAAGTTATCTGTTAACACTGTTTTTTGTGACAATCAAAGTGCAATATTTCTGACGAAGGATCAAATGTTCCATGATCGAACGAAGCATATTGATGTTCGTTATCACTTCATCAGAGATGTTATTGCTAAAGGCGATATTACAGTAAACAAGATCATCACCAATGATAATCCTGCTGATATGTTCACTAAAAGTCTTCCAATAGCCAAATTCAAAGCATGTTTGGATTTGGTGGGTGTTTCAGATCGCATTTGAGCCTGATAGGCTCGTGGTGGAGGAAGTATATTTACTTTTCGAAATCAATTTTTTCTCATATGGTGTTTGCAGATTCTTATAGAGATTTGGAGTATGATGAGCTGTTGATAAACTGTTTTGCATGATCATTGTGCAAGTTAAAGTTTTTTCATCCTGTCTCGTTTGAAGTCAAGGTGGAGATTGTGGAAGTTTCCTTCAAACTTCAACATTTGATGATTTCTAGAATACCATTCTACACATGTGGTTTTAATTTGTCAAGAATGGGTGGTAGCATGTTTGTCAAGAATGGATGGTAGCATGTTTGTCAAGCTTGGATGGTAATAGACAATTGAATTCATACATTCATTTGCCTATAAAAGGAAATGAAACCAAGCTTATTAAATAAAAACAACACACCTCAAATTACATCTTCATTTTTCTCTCATATTCATACAAATATATATTTGATATATTTGTTTTTCTTTCCTCTATCTCTGTAAACACTGAATATTATAGTAAATTGGTTCTCGGCTTCCTCCGCCCGTGGTTTTTCCCGATTTGGGTTTCCACGTAAATATCGCGTGTTTTTTCTTTTTATCGTTCGATTTATTCTTGGTTGATTATTCAAATAGTTTTATATTCCGTTGAATCGCTATCGTGATATTTGGGTTTTATACTTCGATCTTGAAGTTATCGATTATTTATTGTAGTCGATTTGTCCACAGGTTCGAGAAAATTCACAACATCAATGAGATAATCTCTTAGAATATGAATGTATGCAGGTGGCTCAACATAAAGAAGCAAGAGCTTCTGTCATGCATTATTTTACAAGCGTTATTTTTTAAGTTTGTAAGGTGCACATCCATCGCATCGATCCAGTGGACTGAGGTGGCAGGTAATAGGTGCGGGTAACACCACAGTGGTGTGCGATGACCCACGCAGGAGAACAATCCACTGCATCACCTTTTTTTTTTTTTCCTTTTCTTTTCAGTTCCACACTATTATACGGTACATCTTATTGTTGTATATTTTGAGGGGAATGATATATAATGATTTCCTAACGGTAAGGAAGGGTGAGGAGAAAGTTGACAAGGAAAAAATGATGGGAGGTTATAGCTCACACCCTTGGCCTAATAGCGCATGGATACTATTTCTCACCAACAAAATTTTATTAAATATAAATGTATACAAAAGTGCAATTATTTTTATGAATTTGGGTTAGTGGTTATAAGTTAGTATCACAAAGTTAGTATAAATGTCTATGTCCATATTAGTACCAAAGATTTCCAATCTATGGCTCTAAGGACATAGCAATCCCTAACATACTATTCTATGGCTCTAAGGACATAGCATTTTCTCCCTACGGGGAACAATGGAGGCGGTTAAAGAGCATTCTAGTACTCCATCTTCTAAGTAATGCACGGGTCAAGTCATTCCGAGTAGTGAGAGAAGAAGAGATCGGACTTATGATTGGTGCGCTTGGAGGAAGCTATGGTTCTTCGGTTGATTTGAGTGCGATGCTTGCTTCAGTTGTAAATAACATAATTTGTAAGGTGGCCTTCGGGAAGACGTATCACAGATTAGGCTTTAGAGAGTTGTTAAAGAGGTTTGTTGATATTCTGGGTGTTTTCTGTGTCGGCAGTTATATTCCATGGTTGTCGTGGATAGATCGTTTAAAGGGAAGAGCACATAAAGTTGTTAAAGAGTTCGATGATTTTCTTGAAGGCGTCCTTGAAGAACATCTAAATCAGAAAAGAGGAGAGGCTTTTGACGATGAGGAAAGCCAAAACTTTGTTGATATCCTAAGGGATATTCAAATAAATAACACATCCGGCTTCATCCTTGACACAGATACCCTTAAAGCTATCATCTTAGTATGTTTAATTCCTCCATTTTTTCTTCTTTTAACATAGCTATCATTATACATATATAATCTTATATGATTTAAGTCCAACATAAAGATTCTGTTGTTTGTAGGATGTATTGGTTGCTGGAATTGATACCATATACACAAGCTTAGATTGGGTGATCAGTGAGCTGATAAGACACCCAAAAGTAATGAAGAAGTTGCAGCAAGAAGCAACAGAAATAGCACAAGGAAGATCCATGATTCATGAGGAGGATTTGGAGAAAATGAAATACCTTAAAGCTGTCATAAAAGAGTCCTTGAGATTGCATACTCCACTCCCACTTCTTGTTTCTCATGAATCAACACAAGAAGTCAATCTCATGGGGTACGACATTCCAGCACGAACACAAGTGCTTATCAATGCTTGGGCAATTGCCAGAGATCCTGTGTTGTGGGAAGAAGCAGAGGAGTTTAGGCCGGAGAGGTTCTTGAACAATAATATCGAGTATAAAGGGCTTCATTTTGAATGGCTTCCATTTGGAGGTGGACGTAGAGGATGCCCTGGTGTTCAGTTTGTTGTACCTATCATTGAGCTTGCATTAGCAAATGTTGTATACAAGTTCGATTTGGCATTACCAAATGGAGTTCAAGAGAAGGATTTGGACATGACTGAGTCAAATGGGATTACAGTTCAAAGGAAGTCCCCTTTATTGGTTATCGCAAGTCCACGGTTCTAGTGACTCTTCATTGCATGTAAGTTTCTATGATCCTAAAGTATGCTTTTTGTGATGCATATATACATGATTAGATAAAAGATATTCTCATAATGTTTGTTACTTTCTCTTGTTGTTTCCAACGATAAAAAGTAAGTTCAATTTTATCATAGTGAGCTTCATAAAACACAAACGAAAGTTCTGTCCAAATAATAAGAACTTGGCATGGTTATTGATTCAAGAATCAGTCCAATGAGTCAATTACTTTCTAATAGTTTACACTCATGGACTATGATGGCCAAACCATAAGTTTATGGTTGAATGACTAATTATAATCAACACGGACAGAATAAGAGAAATCTACAAGACAGATTTATTGATAAAATACAACTCTCCATAATTCTACTACGAACTCTTAATTTAGATATGAATCATTTAATTTTAAGAGATAATATATATTCTAAAGATTTTATTTAATTAGGAGATATATTCCTAATGATGATAAATCTTTAGAAAAAAACTTAATCCTAACAAAAATAAAGTATCCTATTTCTATGAACCATTGTCCATATTTAACGTTGATCATTAATCTAACACCCGAAATGATTACATCAAATCTAACCACGCCACACATAAAATTTTGAAGTACCTGGTCTATACGATTGTTGATGCTCCAATGAACATAAAATTGAAATTAATAATTTATCTACATTTATAAATTAATTGTAAGAGATCTTAATTGTAAATTGCTAAAGCAGCTTCACCCATTTTGCAACACTCGGAACACCTGTATTTACAGCAAACACCATATAATATCCCGGCGGCGCTACCCTCCCGTCCGGTGGCGCCGTACATGAAATCCTATAAGACCCCACTGCATCCGGCACTGCACTTGAAACGGCCAATTTCACCAGCCTCTGACCCTGTGAGAATGAATGAGTCGCAAAAGGCGCACTTGCAATATTTACCTCAATTATCCCCACCACCGGAAGCTCCGTCGTCACCACCACATCAAAACCACCTCCGTAGTGTATCTTCTCAGGTAACTCAAGGATTGTAGGCCGAATGTTCGCCTTCTCCGCCAACAAATATTCCGGCGAAAAAGCTTCTATTCTCAATTCTGTAGGAAATTCGGCCTCGAACTTGTAGAAATAATGTGGATTGCTACCGGCGATCAAAATTCTACCGTCGGGAAGCAAATTAGCAGTGGAATGATACATTCTAGGCACTGAACCTGGGTTTAAAGTCATGAATCGGAGACCCACTGGTTCATCTGGTCCGTACAAAAGTGGATATAAACATGGTTGGGATGCCATTTCAAATCCTTGAGTTCCAGCTTCTGCTCCATTTATAATCAAAACATCACCAGTCGGAAGCAGCACCATATCACCCATAATCCGACCAAATGGCATGTCTTCCATTTCCCAAACAGCGGTTAATTCAGTAGCCTCGATTCGACCGCAGCTACCATGAGCCGGTGTATCAGTGTTCCTCTCAATGAATGCTCCAAATTGTGCTCCGCCACAAACGACGATGGTTGCAGAGGAGTGATCCCCTCTCAAAGCGAGCATCGCCGATGAACCCGCCGACGGATAATTACGTGGGCCGCCGTCCAATTTTGGGTATTGTTTCAATACTTTGTTATTAGTATAGTCGTATAATACAGCTCTGTTCTTGGCAAATACGAATAAGTGACCATTGGGGAGCAGATGAACATAGGGGTAAAGATTGTCCATTTGTGTATCCTCTGCTTCAGCAAGAAACGGAAAATTCACAGCACCGCCACCGTGTCGTGAAGGAAAAAATTCAATACTAGCGGTGGCGCGACCACCAACGATGATCACCGACCCGTCGGGAAGTATTTGGTTGGTTGAATACCATCTACCTTGTGCTAATTCAACCTCCTCGAGTTCTTCCCAATCACAAAACGATGTTTTCTCACACGGGATGAACTTGCGTATTTTCTTGACCCCGTCACGATCGCCGCCGGTTTGGAGGAGAGTGCCGTCGGGGAGAAACTGACCGGAGGAACACCAAGTGTCGGTGAGGATCATCAAGGGTCGAATTAGTCCAGTAGCAGGGTCAAAGAGGGCGGAATGAGCATAGCAGTCGCGTTTCAGAAGTGGATCTTGTGGGTCTATACGGCAGTGGCCTGGACGGAGCATTTTCCTTGTAGGGCCGATGTTGGTTCGGTCAAGGAGAACGACGGTGTTGAAGCGGGTGACGGCGGTATGCATGGTGGCTATGCCGGCGTTGGCTACTAGTAGTTCCCACGTGCCGGGGAGGTCAGCACGTAATCCGATCATCAATGTCTGGACAAGTAAGAGAAGAAGAAAGTTAGGTGACGTCATGGTTCTATCAGAAAACAGATGAAGAAGAGAATGGATTAATGGAATGCCACCGAGTGAAGTGGAATAATGAGTTTGACAGTTTGTATTATGCGTAATTTTGTGACGTAGGGGGCCAAGGTGTGTGTGTGTCGGTCCGTCCATGATGACCATGGTTGCTTAAAGAATACCGTTTGTATTACAATCATCATCTTCTAAAACTCTCATTTTTTCATATAATTTAATTTTCATAAAAACATTAAACGCCACAATAAAACATATTTAAAAAAATATTACAAAACATAATTTATAACATTTATTTAAAAAATAAAATGTTTTATTATTTTATTTAAAGAATTAAACATCATCTTTATATTCATTAAAATCCAATATAATTATGGTCAAATTTAATACTTTGAATACCAATTTTTGACATATTACTTGTCATCTTGGCGTGGTGTCTATGTTTATTTTTTGACATATTACTTGTCATCTTGGAGTGGTGTCTATGTTTATTTAAGATATTAAAACTAAAAGCATCCATAATATATAGTTTAATAGAAAAGTCAAGTGGTTTGAATGTAACTAGTGTTAATGTAACAAGAAAGAGATGAGAAGAGATAAAGTGGAAGAAAGAGAAGAGAGAGTAGTAAATTCCAATGCCATTTGAACGTTTTATCTTGTCTTGTCATATTATATGACATGCCATTTAGACGCCACCTCCGATTTGCTAGCATAAGCCATATTGTATGTCATGTCACCTAGGTGTCATCTCAACCTAGGTGTCATCTCAACTTTGCCATGCCCATGCCACGCCATTACCCACAAGCCTTAGAAATAAGCAATTAAAACTTTGTATTCACAAAATATAATCACTTTAAACAAAATACAAATATTTTAATGATATTTTGATAGAAAAATAAATAATTTGTTTAATTTGAGGACAATAATGTTTAGGAAAACATAAAAATAGGAGTTTAGCTATTTATGAAATTAAGGCCCTTTTTGTTTACATCTTAATTGAAAAATTAAGAGGTAACATCTTAAAAATTCAGATATAGACCGTTTGGTAGCTTCTTATTTTTTGTCTCTTAATTTTTTAAAGATCTCTTAATATTTGAGATATAGAGTGAAGTCTGAAAAAAAATAAGAGACCTTGTTCCTTTTTCACCCACCGTTCCTTCTATTCACGTATAGACCTCCGCCTCGACCTTGTTATCTCGATGTGCACACCTTCCGCCTCCACCATATGCCTTCTGGTCCAATCACTGCCCCTAGCTTCGTCAAAACTCGGAGACAACAACATCAGGTAAGATTTTTTTTCTCAAAATCGATTTTATGTAATTGATTTAAGAACCCTGTTTTTTCCTCCCATCGTCGCTGACACCACACCTATAACCCCCTCCCATAGTTGCTGCGTCTTCCACCATAGCTATCGCCGCTTCCGTCTTCCCCTATAACCATCGCCTTGGAGCAATTGTTTTCATGATTTGATGTCTGGAGCAATCGATTTCGAGGTTTGACATTTGCAATCGATTTCAAGGTTTGACATCTGATTCTCTATAAATCAGATGCTTTGATTCAAATTATGATATCTCGCATTACTGATCTTGTGAATAACATCATGTTTTTTATTTTGGATTGGAAGTTTCTGATTTTTTTGGTGTTTTCTTTGACAGAATTGATTATGTGAAATGTGAAATTTGATGTTATGATGCTTGATAAATCTGATGCTATGAAATCTGAAATCTGATATTGTCACACCCCTAAACCGGAGCGGCGGAAATGTCCGGGGGTGGATGACTTCATGTTAAGTATCACAACACATGCATCATAGTAATCAAAGTACAACAACCATTGCATTAATAAAGTATAAGTTTTTACATGTGTGTTCAATCATTGTATATTGACACCAAAAAAGTTATATACATCAAAAGATAGAAGACATGACTCTAAACTGCTATGTTTTCTCAAAAATCTCGGGGATGTACCTGTCTAGTGGTTCCCTGAGAATACAAATGTTTTGAAAAGAGAGTATCAACATTTAAGTTGGTGAGTGCATAAGTATTCATGAGTATGTTTACTGTTCCAGAATATCCAATATTTTCTATTGTAACTGAAAAGTAGTTTTAATACCATAAAATCGTTCTGTATAAGTGTTGTTGTACTAGAAAATAGTATGATATAGTTTTAGTTCACAATAAAACTATAAAAAGAATGTTTTCTATAATGTTTATGTTTTCCAAATTCTGTAATTGTACTCTTTGCAAACCCTGTAAAAGTGACTATGTCTGGCTTCACCTGCTGTAATTGTAAATCGATATGTAATACTGTGAATCGTATTATTGTAAAACTAGTACTTTGTATTCGTACTCTTTGGTTTAATTTATTATATACTAATCGTATTTGTTCATATCTTTTTGTGAGTTATTATAACCATGCTATGACTAGATGACATGATATGACACTTTGTAGGTGCCGAAACTGTTAACGACATTTGTCACTCATAGGCATACCAGCCCAACTGTAGCGAACAATCTGAGTGCGGGATTGTCAATCCCATATAGATCTATACACATTTGTCTTGCTCTCTGTCTGGAGATTCTGGTTATAACATCAGGACTTTAATAGTATTGCCAAAATGAATAAGTAACTAAACATTGTCTCACAAAAACCATATCGACGATTACGTATATAAAAATGATGAAAATTCATTTTGAAATAAGTGAACTGACAGTATGTCCTTTTTCTAATATACTCGACTGTAAAGTATTTGTACGAGAGTATATCGTTAAACTTTGTATAACTGATTTGTGAAAATAGTTTGAGAGTTCCATAAATTATACCTATTATAATTTATATGTGTGTTCTGCTTGATATGTAATACTCATGAAAGTACCCCCTTTGCTCGGCATGTTACAAAGGGTAATGAATTTGATTGAAATAACTTTTATATTCATATATATATATATATATATATATATATATATATATATATATAATATAATTAAAAATTGAAACGACATTCAGACAAATAACTCTACCCTAAGCCCACATCCAAACAAGGAAAAGGAAATAAAGCGAATTATTAGTCCTAAGCCCTTTATATCTTCTATATATCTATATATATATATATATATATATATATATATATATATATATATATATATATATGATTTTGACAAAATATAAGTTTAAAAGAGTTTTAGTAATTTAAAGTTGATTTAAAAATATTTAGAAATCCTTTGTTTGTAAACACAATATTCTTGTGTTTGACTTGTATTTCCCCCCCCCCCCTTAAAACAGTGAAAAATAGTAAAAACGCAGAGGTATGAACTCACTTGATGAGTGGTGATTCGGGCAGCGTTTCGTTTCTAGGGATGATTTTTCTTGACGAAACCGCGAGTTTCTGATGAAAAATTGGGCTTCACGCGGGCAGAGTTTCGACTGGAAAAGATTATTTTCTCGAGGACTTCGGGGCTCCGGGATTTCTTCAGTTGTTACAGGTGTGGCGAAACTGGACACTTCCAGATGGATTGTCCAATAACAAGGAACTCTGGCGAAGATGGAAGAATATTGATGATCACCGCAGGAGAAACTGTCCCGGAACCCCTGTGAACAACGGTACGTTTTTTTCCCAATAAAAATAAAAGTAATTATAAATTACTCTCTCGTCCGAACAAAATCACAGCATTTATATAAAAATAGGAGTACGCCCAACGTACTCGGAAGCTAGGCCTCAGATTGTCCACGACGCCCTTACCCTCGCATGCAACACGTATCTCACACTATCGACACGTGACGACGTCAGAACTTCTTATAGTAACGGATGTTAAGTTGATTTGGAAGGAATGATTGTTAGAATAATGAACTATTTTGTGTATATGTTTTTGCATGTATGTATACTTTTATAAAAATATTATTATATTATTAAAGTATAATTCTTGATCAGAGTATTTTAGTCCCATTGTATATATAGTTGTATATCTTATATGGGTTGTGTAACGACCCAAAAATCAAGGGTAAAAATTTCATTTCTAATATAGCTAAAACATTGATACCATTTATTTCAAACATTTCAAATCATCATTAAGTAAAACATTTATCAGAGTTCATCCCAAAATCATTTATTGCGGAAATCATAGGTGTGTGCACCGCGATCAATCCGAGCTCTTCTTTTCCAAATCGATGATACCTGAAACCAAAGCTGTAAACCGTAAGCACAAAGCTTAGTGAGTTCCCTAGAGCATACCCCACACACAATCCACATAACACATACCATATTAGCTATAAAAGCTACATATATCACATCAGCCATGCATACAAAAATATGGGTTGCCATGGAAACCCTCCAAGGTCTTATGCCATGTGCCATGGGAACCCCCACATGGTCACAATCCACTGCCACGGGAACCCCCCAGGGTCTCTACTACCAAATACAAATCATGCAAAATAAACGTAGTGGGATGCCATGGAAACCTTCCAGGGTCTTATACCATGTGTCATGGGAACCCCCACATTGTCACAATCCACTGCCACGGGAAACTCCCGGGGTCTTTCATGCAAGCATCACAAAGACAACTAGCATATCAAATACCACAAAGTCAACTAGCATACCGCATATAACTAATTGCCATGGGAACCCGCACATGGTCACATACATAATACATAATATATCGATAGCACATTCACAATAATCATCACACTAAATAAATGGGCCGACCTTGGTGCCTTAGACCCATTGATATAGTGAGAAGACTCACCTCGCACTGCAGAAGCTTCCCGCATGAATTCCTTAGCTGCTGCCCCACAAGCTTCCTGAGCTGTTACTACCAATCAATACACCCAATTAGCAATTGGGTCCCATACCATAATCCTTAATCCATGCATGGGGTAAAATGACCATTTTACCCCTGACCCAGTATGATCCAAAACTAAGGCCCAAACCCAAAACAAAAGCCCAACATTATAATGTCCATAAAACCATCAATGACCCAATTTTCCAAATTGGGCCCGGACCTTTCTAATTGACCTTATACTAAAGCCCAATATTCTCCTTAGTCAATAATCATGTCCCTAACTGGCCCACGAAGGCCCACAACAATCTAATCCAAGGATTGGCTCAAACCGAGGCCCACAAATGTGAAATCCATTTCTATATTGGGCCACAAGGCCCATTAGGCCCAACTATTCCAATATTGGCCCAAGATAC